AATACATTACAGTTTAACAGAGATTCACATAGAAAATTTTCAATTGTAATATTTCACAATAAAAAAATTTTTTTTCTGTATTTTTGATCAAATAAGTGCAGTCTTGATAGGCAGAAGAGGCTTCTTTAAAAACATAAAAAATCATACTGATCCCAAATGTTTGTACGGCAGTGTAAATGACTTGTATTTCCATTTCATCAGGCACTCAACACTTTGAGTGCGAAGGGTTTGTGGGTTCTTCGCTACAGCAGCGTGCTGGATTGTGTTTGTGTTTGCAGACTGGCACAGTGGGAAGTACGATCAGGAGTTCAAGGATGACCATGATGAGGTGTCGAGCGTGAAGAGCGAGGGAGCGCCGTACAGATACACTGCCAGGGGCCGCGGACGGGGCCGGGGCCGGGGACGAGGACGCGGCAGAGGAGCCGGCAGAGGTAAAGAACTCCAGAAGTGCAGTGAAATACACATGGACTCGACTCCAGCACAAATCTCACACGGGATCCAGAGTCTTTTCACTGAGATAGTTTGGCTTCTGTTTGTTGAGAGACTCAGTTTTACTTTAATCTAAAGACGGTCTGTTCCCAGGCACCAGAACTAACAGTAACCCTCATTTTTTACAAAAACATTTTACGATTTTAAAAATTTATTTATTTATTTTTTGTTCATCGGAATGGTATGAAACTTTGAAAAGGGTTTGGTACTTGCTATGTGAACTCACTCACTCTCACGCACACGCGCACTCGCGCACTCACTCACACACACAGACCCTTGCACACACACACACACACACTCACTCGCACACTCACACACACACACTCTTACTCGCGCACACACATCCACACTCACTCACTCGCACGCGTGCACACGCTCACTCACTTCGCCGGCCGGTCGCACCGCTGTTTAATGAGCCGCGGCGTCTGTAATCTGTGCTGTCTGCTGTTCTTTCAGGCCCTGAAGGACAGTAAGGTGGTGGAGATCACCGATATGAAGATTCGCTGCAAGGAGGAGCCTGAGAAATGGCCGCTGCCCGGCCTCGCTTTGCACACAGACTTCTCTCAGCTCATCGACTGCCCAGAGTTTGTTCCCAGGAACGTTGTGGAGAAGCAGACAGGTGAGCGCGAGCTCTGGCGTGGCATGAGCTGTAATGGGTTATGAAGGGCCGTTCTGACTGAGCGTTTGACCTGCAGGGTCTCCGAGAGCCTCCGCGCTGGTGCAGTCCAAGACTGATGAGGTGAGTAACCTGAAGCTGATGCCAAAGGGCCTGTCTGCCAGCTTGCCCGATCTGGACTCGGAGTCATGGATCGAAGTGAAGAAGAGGCCTCGACCATCACCGGCACGACCCAAGGTACAAACACACACCTCGGCCACTATCAGAAAGACAGGACTGAGATTAGGGCTCGGCGATAAAACAATGTGACCCTCGAGCACAAAACCAGTCCTAAGGGTCAATTTTTTAAAATTGAGATTTATACAACATCTGAAAGCTGAATAATTAAGCTTTCCATTGATGTATGGTTTGTTAGGATAGGACAATATTTGAAAATCTGGAATCTGAGGGTGCAAAAACATCTAAATATTGAGAAAATCATCTTTAAAGTTGATCAAATGAAGTTCTTAGCAATGCATATTACTAATCAAACATTAAGTTTTGATATATTTACGGTAGGAAATTTACAAAATATCTTCATGGATCATGATCTTTACTTAATATCCTAATGATTTTTGGCAATCTCAGTTTTGAAAAATTTAGCCTTATGACTGGTTTTGTGCTCCAGGGTCACAAATAAAGAATAGCAGTCATATTTTTGTTTCTTGAGCATTGCAAGTATCAAAACGACAGCCTTAAATCTGGCGCGTATGAAACCGATGTGTGTCATTAATGAACGTGTCGCTGCAGAAAGCGGAGGAGGCGTGGACGCTGGTTCAGACCGGCCCGAGCGCAGGCGAGGACCAGGATGAGCCGGAGGAGCTGGACTTCATGTTCGACGAGGAGATGGAGCAGATAGATGGCCGACGCAACACTTTCACCGACTGGTCAGATGAGGATTCGGACTGTGAAATCAACGATCAAGACGTCAACAAGATTCTGATTGTCACGCAGACGCCGCCGTACCTGCGCAAGCATCCCGGAGGAGACCGGACGGGGAACCACACCTCACGCTCCAAACTGACCAGCGAACTGGGCAAAGTCATTAACGACGGACTTTATTACTACGAACAAGACCTCTGGGACGACACGTACGAGCCTGAGTATGCCACTATCAAGGTGAGCTGGTGGTCAGATTTATGGCCGTTTGCTGTTGATGCAGTCATGGCTTACAGCGAGAAATTAACATTTGGTTTGATTTATTTTTTCCCATTAGAAAAGAGCACATACAAAAAATCTAAATCAGTAATGGAGAGAAAACAGGTCTATTTCAGGCACATTTGCAACTGAAAATTGCTGAAAAAATCGTTAGGAGCACCAGAGTGTATTTGCAGCGTTGAGCAAAGTAGCCAATCACAAACGAATCTGTTGATTTCTGGAACGAACTGGCCAATCAGAGGAGTTTAAGCTCAAGCGACCCCTCGCCACTCAAAAACACTTGAGTTTTGTTCAGTGCTGCTGAGTTCTGCAAGCTCGCCGGTCATAAAAGGTGTAAATGAGAGCTTCATTGATTATAAGGGAAGTTTGTGAGATCGCGATGAACTGAGATGAGTGACTTAAAGCACTCTCAGATACTGAAAGTACTTTTTAAAATGTTTTCTTTTATCACTTGTAATTGTCTTTTTCCCCTATTTATTACTT